TGTTAGCTAGCTAGTGCTAGCTGATCACTGAAATATTCATTTGCCTCCAAAACCACATCACATGGAACAGCCACGCTCGCCTGCTTTGTGCTCCTAACGTTAAAGGTGGCCATGAGAGGTTCAGACATGAGTATTCAAATGTTTTATTGTGTTTTTAATGTTAATTTAGTACAGACTCAGCTTGATATTACTATTTCCCACCTGACAAGCTGATTTAGGCTATTAAAATATCCTGATTATCCCTTTAACGCTGGTAACATTTTGAGATTGGAGACATTTTGTGGGTTTAAAGTCCTTAAAGTCCAAACCAATGTTCATGTTTTTGTTACATTGTATATATTTGATCCAGTTTAGGTTTAACATTGCAATTTACTGAACACACTAAAGAACTTTGCATGACACACCTACATCCTGTCGTCATCACCTCCCTGTACTTAACATTAATTGGCTTGTAGAGGAGCGTCTGATGTCAGCATGTTGTTCAGTCAGCAGGTAGTTTTTTTTTTTTTGTTTGAAGGGAGAAAAATAAATAACCTCTCTCATCCTCTCAGAAAATATGGGATCAATTTTGGCAATTTTATGCGTTTTTTCAAGCTGACTTTTGACTTTTTGTCAGACCAAATTACAATTAAATAATTTTAATTAAGTTATTCCCCATGTGCTACAGCAGCTCATTTTTACTTCTTTCCTGGTTCTTTTTCTTCTTCTGTTGCTTAATGGAGGGTGATAGCCTGCCTCATCTTTCTGTAATTGGTCCGAAAGTCTAACCCATCCAAAAAAAAGTGTTTTCACCCTGCAAACAAACCAAAACATGGTCCAGTTCGATCCAGACTATGACAAATTTTGGTCCTTTGGTCCAGACATGGTCCAAGACACCTTTCACACCTGCTATTTTGGTTTGGACTTAACTGAAAAGTCCAAAGGTCTGACCCAAACAAGGCAGGTGTGAAATGCCCTTAGACTATCAAACTGTCCTACATGCAGTTTTAATATGACGCTGAAGTCGGCTTCCTATTCCCATTCCACCTTAAATGGAGCAGCAGTTACATCGTGGCGCCTGAGATAATATAACTGGTGCACCATTTAAGGTGGAACAGAAAAAATTAACCAAGAAGCTGACTTCAGCTTCATAGTTTTAATGCTGATAGGCTTTTTTTCAGGTGATTTAAGCTATTAAAATATCCAATCTAGAGTTTTATGTATGGAGCTACTTATAAATATGCGCTACAGTAATACGTTTTGATGAGAGAGCACAATTTGTCACAACACGTTTGCTAAAAGTAATGGGTGGTGGTCATGAAGATGAATCATAAGATATGAACTGTCATCCCCTTTCACAGCGATTTTCTTTCTGCGATTTCTGCGGACAGGATGACCCCCTTCAGTCAAGTTTCCCTACGCACCAGTGTGCGAAATACTCCCTGGCATTCTGGGGGGGGGGCCATGTCGGCTGGCTACCCCAGCATTAGTGGGCTGCTAATGCACTCTTCCATACATTAATTGAGATCTTACATATTGCTTTTGTCTTGGGTTCGAGGAATAAGTAACAGTTCACTCTTTCCAATATGCAACATCATATTGTGAAGTTTTTCAGAGGTGTCCCGGGCACAGTTACAGTTGCTAGGTTAACCAGTTTGCTACAGTGCCACCCTGAGGCAGACCGGTGCGACTGTGGGTGAAGCAGCTAAACAATGACCTTTCCCTGAATTTGTAATCAAGCATCCCCAACAGATAGCATAACATAATATGTTTATTTTCAGGGACCCCCCCAGAATTTGGATTTTGAGACCAAGGGAGTCCAAGAGATTCAAAAACCAAAATACAACCACACCTCAGTCTAAGTCCTCTTAGAAGGCTAAAACATTTCCACTGTCACTGGTTTGCACCATTTTTTCACTAACACAAAACAAATCCATGTTGTGTGCTGCAACTGTGTGCCTACACGCCTGCATCTAGGAGACTGTTGCTAACTTTGGTTGATGCTGGACAGAATGTAATGAGTTTTTAAAGCACAGTGCTTGACCATGTTTTTAATGATAATTCAAATTTGAAACAGTAATACTAACCGTCATTTTACGGTGGCTTACTGTGAAACTGATAACTAGTTCCAGTGAAGGTAAATCATACAGCTACAGCATACAATCAAATTCAGGAGTTTATGTTCTTCAAATTTTGCATTCCAACCAACCTTCAAGCCATTGCAAAGCAAATGTTCCAACATCTAGTGTAAAGCCTTCCCAGAAGAGTAGAGGATGATACTGCAGCAAAGAAGGACAAACTCCATAATAATACCCAGAGTGTACATATAATTGCGATGATCAGATATCCTTTTGGGTGCCTTTTCAATAATAGTGTCGTTTCTTCAATAAAATAACATTAAAACACAAACACATAAAAGTAGCCAAGCAACAACCTGAATACCCCTTTTTTGAAAGTGGAACTGTAGTGGTCCATCGAGCATTGGTCAGTGTAGGAGCTGAATGGCTTCTTTTCTTCTCTTTTTGGGTCCTTTTGGTCTAAAGCTCCAAAATGAGAGGTGTGATCAACAGTAAAGTGGTGCAGGAGCTAAACCAACACAACAGGATATAAATTAAACCCCCCCAAAAAACTGAAATGAAAGTAAACTTTTGTTACAAACTTGAGTAAAAGCACTTGAAAATGCACAGGAAAGTACAAATCTATCAAAAATGTACATGAAACTGAGTAAACTGGACTAGTTACTGTCCATCTCTCGTTTATGACTGATGTCTTTGGTGGACATTTGGTGCTGTTCAGGAAGCTGAACTGAACAGTTTGAATTGTGATATTTAGGCCACTATTGTTTTCCTCAGCAGAAAAGAATTGCTGGAAAAAGCCATTCACAGTGATAACCTATCATCAAACGGCTGTTCTATTTTCTGACCTTTTTGAAAGGTTTACAGCTTGCGCTTTCAGGTTGGATTGCTGTTTCTTATAGAGCAGAACTGTGTTATCAGGCCAGTCCAGTGGGTCAGAGGAAGCCGAGGGAAGCATGTTTGAAGGTTAGTCCTATTAAGGTGGAGAATAGAGTCAGATATAAACTCTAAGACATTAAAACATCTGTTGGAAACAAGCTTACTCGCATCCAACAGTCTGTAGAGATTCTCTGATCTAAAACAAGGGTGATGATGTATCTGGAAGGTGAGAGGATTGTTGGAGTTTATTTTATTTATTTGTTTTTTGTAAGCCTGTGAATGCAGGTAGCTGGAAAACTAATGTTATTGCTAAGAAGCCGATTCAAATCATCATCACAGCAGAGAGAATGGATCACTCAAATGACAAACAACAGCTCAGTGTAGGTTAGCAGTCATGATTGGTTGACACCCCCGGGATTCCCAAGGGATAGCCTGGTTCAAAATGGTGCCCTAAGCCCTGCAGTCCCCCACAAAGTCCACATGTTGGTGACATCAACAATGTGCAGTTCTTTAGGGTAAAATTGGTCTTGTGCTTTACAAATTTTCTGTGGAGACCACAATATTTTTAACGAAAGTCTCCTATTTATAACCAAGACCATGGTTGCATGTGTAAATCTTTATAGTTGTAGGTTTTAAAGTTGTATTCTTACAAAAAAACACATGATTTCATTTGTATATTAATGCATTAAAAAGACTTTTGTGCTCAACACATTCTATGTGGCCAAAAGTATGTGGACAATTGACCTAAATCTACTTGATAGTCATCTCTTTCCAAAACTATAGGCATCATCATGGAGTTGTCCCTCTTTGCGGCTATAACAGCGTCCGCTCTTCTGTGAAGCTTTCCATAACACTTGGTAGTGTGTCCGTGGGAGTTTGTAGTCATTCGGTCAGAGAAGCATTTGGCACAGGGGTACAATCATGCTGGAACAGGAAAGGCTCTTCCCTAAACTGCTGCCACAAATTTGGAAGCATATAATTGTCTAAAATGTCTTTGTATGCTGTAACATTAGCATCACCCTTCACTTTAACCAAGGGACCCAAACCCTGAAAAACAGCCCCAGCCCCATTATCTCTCTTCCACCAAACTTTACTGCTGGCTCTATGCATTCTGACCGGACCAAACCAGATTCAGCCATCAGACTGCCAGATAGTAAAGCGTGATTTATCACGCCAGATAGGCATTTCCGTTGCTTCAGAACCCAGTGGCTGTGAGCTTTACACCAATCCAGCCAACACTTGGCATTGCATATACTGTTTTTAGCGTTCTGTGCAGCTGCTCATCCATCAAAACCCATTTCGTGAAGCCCTGGATGCATAGTTCTTGTGCTGATGTTGCTTTCAGAGGCAGTTTGGAACTTTTAGTAAGTACAACAGAGGATAGGTGATGTTTTGGACTGTCAGCAGCCCTGTTCCTGTGTTTGTGTATAATAGCACTTACAGTTGACTGGGGCAGATCATGCAGGACAGAGCATGTATTATTATTATTATTATCATTATTATTATCATCAACCGCTACAAAGTTTTGGTCTTGAATCAGACTCAATGCGTCCAGGTTTCCATCTTGACTTGCCTCTAATGGTCTTGACCACAATGCTACTGGCTATTTTAGTGAGACTGTACAAAATCTGTACAAAATCTATAAACCGATGAGGCTGCTGGGCTACAGAACACTTTCACAACAAACAACATCTTAAAGTCCAGTTTTAGCCCTCTTTAATTCCAGAGACCAGAGACCCTAAAATGACCCATGCAGCTTGAGTCATGCAACAGAAATAGCTCGAAAACAGCCGTGCAATAAACATGCAGCATGTCAGTGTTGTCACTGGGTGGTTTCAAGAACAAACCACAGTATTACTCTTTCGTCATCTATCTGTCTCCTCCCTCATTTACTCTCTCATTCACCGCGCTTCTCTTTTCCTCACTTTTTCCCCCGATGTGGTTGTTGTTTTTTCGAGAAAATGTGCACACAGGCCTGAATGTGTCAACTTCCCAGCTGACACACCATCTCCAAAAACACTCCTTCACACTCTCAACACGCCCTCGCTCTAACACACACACACACACACACACACACACACACACTCCCACAAACCCGTCCAGCAACACAAACCTCCTCCCTTCTCACATTCACAGTAACGCTGAGGGCCACAGATCCGAGAACATACAACTCTGTGAGAACTACGAGGAAAAAAAGCTGGGGGGGAGGGAGGTTGAAGAAATGAAAACACCTGTTCCTGTGGTGCTGTGGGGGGGAATAAATGAGAAGTTTACATTGCTGTCTCGCTCGGCGGAGGTAGGCTTCCACCATCGTACTTTCTTTCTCACGGATGTTTGATAATGTGCTTTAACTAGGTATGTGAAGTGTACAGTGGTTTGTGCTTTGGTCATATTGTAATATGCTGCTGCCTTGTTCTTTTCTTTGCCTTGGTTGGTTGGTACTCCTTGGTGATAACCTTCAGAAGATGGCAACCCAACCATCACTGGTTGTTTTAGATTGATAGCACAATAATACATTTCAAATAGGTTCTTTTGAAGCTCCTTTGAAGTTCTTTTAAAGTTATTGTAGTGTACTTGCACCAAATTGGAGTTCTAAACTGGCAAGGGCAATTCTATGGTATTAGGTTTATCATTACACCAAATGCCTAATGGAATCACTATGTGAACAAGTTGAGAAGGTAGTAGGAGAGTCGATCACTAGGGGTTGGCAATATGATGATACTTATCGTTATCATGATTTTCTGTAAATTATTGTGAATATTTTCGGTAATCAAAACACTAACTACGCATATTATTATAAAGAGAGCCTAATGAGACCTGTTTAATTCGATTTAGTGCAGCACAGATGAACAAAAATCTTTAAATTGATAGTTTTTGTTTGTTCCAGTTTATTAAATCTTATAAGATTAAGAGATTAGGATCTTGTGGTATTATATTTTTGGCATATCGCCCATCCCTAGTTGAACAAGTTCTTGTGATGAACAATCTGCACTATATTTAGCGCTAGACACTGTAAAAGGGTTTCGGTCTTCCCAAGACGTACCATTCAACTGGCCTTAGCTTGACAGCATCTGTCAAAGATACTGCTGTAAACACCTGGATTTACAGTCCAGCTAGCTGTGAAAAGGCCATGCGGGTTCTAAAATTGTTCGTTGTAGAGGGTGTGGTAATGATGGGAACCAGGTGTTGTAATGTTTACAACACAAATATAGTCCGTTTATTTACTGTCCAAAACCACTAGTGAACCTACATATGTCTTCTGAGTTTGGCAGTAATGTAGTGGAAAAATCTGAAAAAAAAAAAAAGTTTTCTTTTGGGGACTGTTTTGCCTCACAAGACCCTCCGTGATTGATGGGTTTAATAATACAATTTATGCTATCTCAGACATCTTAAAACAATGTCTCAGGCATCAGGAAATGCATTCATAACTAATATGTGTATCTTTCCGTGAGGAAGCTGCTAGAGACAGATGTCTGGTTCCTGTCACCACCACTGCGAGCGATTTCGACATTTCACAAACCACTTTGAATGACTTTATTTACATCTTCATGACGTAATTACGCAAATTTTTTTGAAAATTTGTAGAGTTCCCCATGAATAGTGGCACCACTGCCTCGATTCAAACCATTTTTAGACACCATTTACCATTCCCGACACCATGCAAAACTCTTGTTTTCACGTTCTCATGGAACTGAATCCACTGTGTGTGTATTTTTGCTTCGTTGCCGTGAGGATAGGAATTGGGGAACTCATTGCTCAGCCCAGCCAGAACAGTCCTTATATGGGAATCCGAGATTGCAGTATATCTTGCTAGCTGTTGCTATATGACAGCTGAAGGTTTTCCTGTTTTGTGGTTTATGACTACGTTTCCCCTATTTTGAGTCTCTGTACTTCTCTAAGGGTTTGGGGTTTCGTACAAGCGTTCCTCTGCAAAGTGCACTCGCTTCCTGTAGCTGGTGCTGTGCACCAAATGGAATGACTTCTACTATATCATGTCCCTGAATGTTTGCCTCTAATGCTGAAGACATTCTGACTCAGAGGTACAACAAAAGACTCAACACTTGCTCAGCTGACAACATTCAAAGCACCCCAAACGTTCGGCCGGCCTCAGGGTGGCACTCAGAAAGTATGTTGAGTAATAAGCATCTGCTGAAGAAGGCACAGTTCCTCAAATCTAACCAGATGCAAATATCAGGTATAGTGAGGAGCTGTTTTGCAGGACCTTAGTACCTTAGTACTAAGTAGGAGGCTCAAGAAAAATGTAGTTGGGTCCAAGTCTTTGCTTAATCTGTGTCAGAAAAACCGGCTCTTCATGTTTGCAGGTGAGCTGTCACATAACTGGCCTCTCCCTTTTCTTACCCCACGGCATTTGGAGCAGATTCAGCGGCAGCCTGGTTGTTACCCTTGTCCGTCCGCATTCCTCTTTTCTAAGAAGACATAGGTGCTGATCTGAGATGAGGTCCTTTCTGGCCATTTAGCAGTAATCATCAGGAGGTAAAAAGGTAGAAACGATCTCGGATCAGCACTGTCAATCTGAGTTCATCGACATGTGGCCTTGTTGATGAACAAGGCTGCTCTCGCTGAAGAAGTGAAGGTGTGATTGATTTGACAGAGGCTGTCCTGTAAAACAGCAACTGTCAAATGCAACATTCATTAGATTTCCAAACACAGCTGACTGGTTTTAGATCCCTGCCCTTGCATCTTCTGAAACACTTAGCCAAGTTTCATTTAAATGAAAAAAACATATAGTAGATTTAGACCTGTGGAATGTATCACGGGCTTCGTTCACACATCACATCATGCATTCTGGGTGATTTGATCACAAGTGAACAGTGCTAAGTACAGGTGTGAACAGGGTCCAAGTGCATCTCAGGGTGTTTTCACACTTGTCCTGAATATTTGAGTTCACACCCATGTTTGACGAAGGACTCATTATCACTGGTCTTCAAATGCAAGAATTCCTTTCAAACCATGGAATGACTGCACAATTCCACGTATCACTTTTCTGAGCGTTTGCAAAATGCACAAGGATCCATTCTCATAAAAGAAGATTTTTAGGGAAGTGACGTGATAAGTTCAAGCAGTCACATCACAAAATGAACCAATCACGCAGCTCCCACATGTGGTGCTGGAACCTGGATAGCTTCTACACATGCAGCAGATCGCACTAGAGCTCACTGGAAGCGAACCCCAGACCCCAGATTTCAAAAAGACCAAAGATCCCAGTCCTGGGATCAAAAACAGCTTTCACACTTGACCAAGCATACCGAACTTGCAGAGCAAGCAATCCTGGGTCCAGAAAAAACACAAGAGTGAAAACACCTTTGGAGATGCCTTTGATCTGATCAATCAAATCAAATTCAGAGGTGGTCAGGGATGTATGATCAAGACATCATAGTAGAGATGAAAACAGCTGCATATCTTCTTTCTTTGTCTCCTCCTCCATTTGCTTATAAGTTTAAAAGCTATAGATTCTTAAAAGAGATTGTTCTTAAAGGGTTCTTTGGTAAAGCAATGGTTCTTTTTGGAACCAGGAGCTCTATATAGGACCAATTCATGCTTAAATAGTTCTTTGCATGGGGAAATGATCTCTTCAGATTGATGGAAAATGTGCTGTACATGGTTCTAAATAGAATAAAAAATGGTTCTATATGGTACCAAAAGGTACTGCTTGACATGGCAGATCTTGCTATCCACCTGTTATAAGATCACTCAAGACAGATGTTAAGATGTGGAGATTTTATAAAAATAGCTGATGTCTTCTTGTTCTTACCCGCAGCTCCAACCATGATGTCACCTTGACCTGGTAACACGGAGAGCTGGGAACAATGTCAGTCCCCCAGGTGGTGGTGGTGAACTTCCAGTATGAGTACACAAATCGCGATGGAAATCAGGTGTCCATCAAACCCAACGAGCGCTACATGCTGGTGGCCAAGACCAACGACCACTGGTGGCACGTGCGCAAAGACGAGACCACCAAACCTTTCTTTGTCCCAGCCACGTATGTGACAGAGTTGCCCCCTGAGAACAACTGGGCACTCCCTGAGCCTCCAGAAGAGGAAGATAGGCTGGATCCTCCAAAGCCTTTCTGCAAAACGGAGCCTGCTGATTTAAAGCAGACTTCAGAGGTTACCATTAGAGACCCCACTTCCATCAAGAGAGACTCTGAGAAGGATGGGCACAGGATCTCAACTTTTATCATCCCACAAGATCTGTATGATTTTAGGTTAGGTGAGCCAGGGGCACTAGACCCTAAAGCTGAGCTGGAACCTGAACCTTGCGACTTGTACAAGGATATAACGCAGGCGGATATAACCCATGGAGGAACATCAACCTCTCTTCCACTTGATGAGGATGAAACTCCGTATGCTGTCTCCCCACCGCACTTTTCTACCACCAGTTCACATGGCAAAGAAGCAGAACCCGGCTCAGCTGGCAGCGAGACCCAATCACCTAGGAGCCCTCTGATGGAGCTAAAAGAAGATATTCACATGCTTAAAAGGGCCGGTTGGGACCTGAAAATATTGGACAATATATATGAGTCAATAGATGAACAGAAAGTGGTGAAGGAAACTAAAGACATTGAGGCAGAACTTACACCAGGCTCTCCAGTTTCTCCTTCAACTCCTGTTTCTACAAAGGAGCGAACTCCTGGATCTCCTACTGACATGCCAGATTCACTTCCAGAGAAGGTACAGACTATTTTTATTTATTCATTACATACAATCCATGGTTCCCACTCCTGCACTAACACAGGGGTTCTCAGTTGTCCCATACAGTTTTAAGTTCTCTGTCCCAACACATCTAATCCAGATTGTAAAGGGCTTGATAATTAGAGATGGACCAGTGGTGTTGGGGTGGGGGATGGTTAAAAACATGCATGGCAGTGGGTTTCCAGTGCTAGGCTGCCATCAAGAAAAGTCCTACAAAGTCCTCATTTGTATTACAGATTGCAAAACGGAACAGTCTTCCAAGGCTGCTCTGTCACGTCAATAAAAAGGACTTGCAAAATCTCCCTTGTCAGAATCCCTGGTACCATCTTAAAGGCTGTTCCATTACTTTATTAGCTGAAGAGAAGGGTGTTAGATGAGCCCTCAGAGGGGCAATGGCCCAAGTGCCCAGATATCCTTGCAATCTGAGGCAAAATACCCCACCATAATGTTGGATAAAGATGCTCATAAGCCACAGCACTAAACTACTTAAAATGTTTAATATTTCAAAACCACATTCAATGTGCTGGACTTTGGATTTAGATTGCAAAGGACTCCATCTGTTGCACATGACTGTTGATACAATTACCTCTGCTAGCTGGCTAATTAGCATGCTAAAGACTATATGGCTAACAATGACGAAAAAGAAGGCACTACATCAAAGTTTATCGCCGACAAAGCGGTTATTTTTAAAATGTTTTATGCTCAAAGCTTTAAAAAAAACTTTGCATTGCAAAGTTTGCATGACTAACTCAATGATTAACTAACTGAAGCTCACCTAGCAGAGGGCGAGTGTGGTTCACTCCTCTTCTTCTGCTACAGGAGGCTACCTGTGTAATGATAGCGTGACACACACCCTAGCAGTAAGTTGAAATGGCAGAGGGGATGTAAAATAAAGCTGAAACAGGGCCCTAAACTGCAGCCTAGTTTTGGAACACAGTTTGAGACTGGAAACCTCTTCAGCTCAGAAAGGGATGGCTAATCAGCAGATTAGCTGATCGGGTGAGCTGTAGCAGGTAAAACACCCAAAAATGTAGCGGAGGGGTACTCCAGGACCAGGACTGGGGAACCAGTGGTTTTAGAAATTACGCTTAAATGACCAAAACAAAAGCCACAGTCCACTTATATGCACATGTACTGCTAGTAACCTGAGTTTCTGCTGATGAAAGGTCATGCATGACCACTGTGAGGTGCTGCACTCCACCAAATCACGTGCTGCTGTTCTGAAGCTTTGTATGTAGAGTTGAGCTCAGGGAGGTGCTGCTCTCTTGAAATGACACATCCAAGAGTAATGCCTGCTGGGACAGGGAAGTGATGATGAGATCTTCATTTAGGAACAGGGAGAGCTGTGCAGTTGTGAGATTTTAATCTGCAGAGTGCAGATTACAGGCATGTCTGGTGTCCTGCAGTTGTGAATATTCTGAATATGGATGATACCTCTTACTGATAGCTAACCTATCTACTAATCTACTACCTATCTACTACCTATCTACTACCTAACCTACTGATAGCTAACCTATTATTTTGGTTATATGCATGTAATTTAGTTAAAGCAAAAGGTAAAATGAATGGAACTGAGATTAAGTGAAAGTATCATTATGATCAATTTGGAAAACAGCTTTGTGTTTGAACCATATTATACCCATCCAAATGTTTGTACTCTAAGTAGCAGTTATCCAAATATCTGTTCATTAACTTTTGCAAATACTTGTCAAAAATAGCGCACATCCCTTCTTATTAATGTTGGGGTTGGTGCTGGTGTTTATTACTTCTGTGCTGAAGAATAATAATCTTAGGCAGAGGCCTTCAAATCTGGACCCAATCCAGTTTCCAGGCCTGTATTTTGTAATCGCCGCCAGTTAACTGCCCTGTTCATGTTACTGATTGGCCACATAGTATCATACCAAGCAGTGAATGCAAAATTCAGGACTGGAAAGTGGTCAGGACCCCCATGGACCCTCACAGAGCAGGTACTATTTGGGTGGTGGATCATTCTCAGCACTGCAGTAACACTGATGTGGTGGTGGTGTGTTAGTGTGTGTTGTGCTGGTCTGAGTGGATCAGACACAGCAGTGCTGCTGGAGTTTTTAAACACCTCAGTGTCACTGCTGGACTGAGAATAGTCCACCAACCAAAAATTTCCAGACAACAGCATCCTGTGGGCAGCGTCCTGTGGGCAGCTTCCTGTGACCACTGATGAAGGACTAGAGGATGACCAACACAAGCAGATGAGCTATCGTCTCTGACTTTACATCTACAAGGTGGACTGACAAGGAAGTGTCTAACAGAGTGGACAGTGAGTGGACACTGTGTTTAAAACTCCAATGACTTAGAGAATAATGTTGAAATGCTGTTAGTACCAAATGAAAATAAGTCAAAAGTAACTATTTGATGTCGTTTCCATGAGCATGCAAGCACTCCCTCCACTTACCAGACCACCATTTTCAAGAGAACCAGTGATCAGTTCTCTGGACCTCTTCCAGGCTCAAAAACTGTGTTCACATTTGGCCATACATGCCCAACTCTCAGGGTGAATGGGCCCAGCTTAAGTGTGAAAACTCCTTAAATGAATCAGCATATTTACTGCTGTAATTTCTGTGTGCCTGCAGAATCACCACTTTTCACTTCATCTAGCCACGCTGCTGCATCTGACTGATAAATGTCCATCATTTTATGTTTTCAAAACCCCAACCTTTTAAAACTGCTCTGTAAAAAGTACATGCAAGATGTGAGAGCAGTTAGGATAGTTTCCCCCAAGAGTTATGGTTCACTTATTTATCTCCTCTGATCAAATGCCCAGGCTAACAAAGACTCAGCTTTAATTGCTGCAGTGCAGTGCCAAACTTATCTGCATGTGAAAGGCCTGGCTGTTTTTTTCCTGACTGGGTTGGTTTGGCTAATGCTGTGAGACACAAACTCACAGCTCCCAAAGAAACTCATCGCCCTCTCGCTGTCTTTTCCGCACTAGATGATGGCATTTGTCCTTATTTCATAGTTTTTGGTCTTTTACACAAACGAATTGGTGTAAAAACTGACCCTCAGACAGTCATACTCAGACCACAGTAGCCTAGCCTGCTGCTGACTGCAGCCTCAGCACTGCTAACAGCAGGCTAACTGTAGTCAAAAGCAGCAGTTTCTTGGCAAGATGAAGATTTTTTTGGGGCTTTTTTTAAGTATAATTCTCATTCAAAACAAGACACACGTGACTCAGTAAATCTTTAATGCAAAACCCAGTTACAATAACAAGGGAGGAAGGGACATTTCAGAAAAATCTAATTCTAGATAAAACTGTGTTACAAATTTTGGAGGTAAAAATTGATATTTTTTGTTTTCAGTTTTTATTATAGACTCATAAATACACACATCTATGGAAGCCCATTCCCACCAGATGGAAGATAAACCAACTTACTTTTTTTCTCCCCTCTTTCTGGTAATAATTACTTTATTTTCTCAGAAAAAGTACTTAAAATATTATATTCTTGAAAATTTATTTCAGAATAATTTAATTTAGTCAAGATTTTGACTTTCCTCTGATTTTGACTACTTTGACTATGCGATTTTAATTAATTAAGACAACACTTCTACATCCTATCAGTTATTTAAAAAACTCATTACTTGAAACAAAGTGATTATTTTGGGATTAATAATTCAAAGGTTTGAGAAAATAAGTATTTATTTCAAGATACTAATTCAAAATTCTGAGAAATTGAGAAACATGCTATGAGATACAAAGTCAAAATTTTAAGAAAACTTTTATTTATACATATTAAGTCAATATTTTCAAGAAAATGTTATTTTGATTATAGCATTCAGAATTGTAAGATTTTTTTTTATGCTTGACATAGTCAAAAGTTTGAGAAAATCAGTCAAGATTTTGCGAAATTGAGAAATTGCTTTGAGATATTAAGTCAAAATTTCAAGAAAACAATGAATTATTTCAACATAATAAGTCAGTATTTTAAAATACATGTGTCATTATTTTGACCTAGCAATCAAAACATTAAGAAAACAACTTATTATTTCAGCATAAGTCAACATTTTGAGAAAATCAGTTAAGATTCTAGGTTAAAATTTTGATGTAGTGTTGTTAAGAAACAGAAAAAAATCTAAATCTACTCGGCACAAAAAAGTTTTATCTGGAATTTCACTGGACGCCTATTAATGTAAAACAACAGTTACAGCATCATCCATATCTTTACATTCTGTATTACAAAATAAAAGCACTGATATCAACAAGTTGTTGAAAAATATGTGCCAAAAATCTTCAGTAACACTGTAATAAGCTATAAGATACTTATATTAGTGTATAATACTTCTGTAACAATCTGTAATGTTTTTCTTCTGTAATATTTCTGTAGAAATCTGAAATACTTGTGTATCAGGAAAACCATGGTCTGCATTTTCTGTGAGACTGTAAAAGGGACTTTTATTCAGTAAACCCTTACTGAACTCATGTAGATGGCCCTTAAAGGTGGACAAACTGGTCAGAACAGCAGAAATTGAGCAGGGCCTGAAAGAGTTAAATTCCCTCCGCAGCTCCTCCCCCTCAGGCCTCGGCTACCTGTTTCCCACAGGAGGAAGGACTTTTCCTCGCCTGAACTCCAAAGAGCATCCATACTACTCCAAACAGAGAGGATTACGAGGGACTTTTATTTGATTTTTGGCTTTAATAAACCGTTATATGTTTTAAAGTATAGTATAATCGTTTGGAGGCTGCCCTGAGCTTCGTTGGAGTGAGCGGAAAAGCACTTGTTGCACGGTAGGCTTTCCTCACAGTTTCCTTCGTTGGAGGATGTCGTTTTCTGCAGGTGAGGTTGGGCTTCTCGTTTGAACTTTCCGTTCCACCTTAAACTGTGCAGCAGTGCAGCCTCCATACTTGGCAGCCTCAGGCGCCAGAATGGAACTGCTGCACCATTTAAGGTGGAACGGAAAATTCGAAAAAGTAGCATTGAGAAAACGGCTTTTTTTTTAATGAAAACGGG